ACCGCCGTGAGGATGAAAAGGCGTTCTGCACTCCCGACCGCCAGATAATCTCTCCTTGACTCCCCACGGCGCACGGCACCTCTGCACTTGCGCTGCGGCCGATGCACCGTTCGGGACCGACGCAGCATGCCGGAGCTCGCATCGCGAGCGTGAGGTACTTGAGGAGGTCGCCAAATATGACATCAAGGTCAGCCCATGCCCACCTGCGACAAGTCACTTGTATGAGGCATCTGTCGGTGGCAGGCGCGCAGGCGCAGGCGCAGCGATCTTCACCAATCTTGCCCCTGCAACAAGTGAGAGTAGAGGTGTGGTAAGAACGGCTTGATGTCATTAGCCTTATACGTGTCGTTGTAGAGAACATGGCGCCCGAGCGAGGGAGGTAGCATTTCGGCAAGCCTCTTCTGCATCGCCTCGAAAGTGATGTGCTCAAAATGCACATTCTTGGGCGTGGCCGCAGGCGCCGAGCTGTCTCCAACGATGACAAAGCGCACATCAGCATTCTCCGCCATGGAGTGCAGCGTGATCGGCATCCATGGTGGTAATGGGCCGAAATACACAATCATCACCGTCAGTCGAAGCTGCCCAGAGGATTTGGGAACCACCCGGGCTTGCCGGCCCGCCGGCAGCCTCGCAAGGATCCTATCAGCAATTCGGTCAGCAACGCGGTCGAGCTGCTCATCGGTTAGGGCAAGTTGGGCGGGTGGCTTTCCGTTTAGGGCTCCTTGTTGCGCGCGTACCTCCATCGTTGCCAGGCCTAGCTGCTGCCTTGCTGCATGAGGAGAGGACGATCGTAAAGTTGCCGGAGGATCCACACATTTCACACCCAACAAGCAATATTTCACAGACCTTGTGAAGAAAAGACGGAGAACCGGGGGACTGCGCTGCGCCGTCAAAGAATTTTAGATCGCGCACCGGCACACAAAGTTAACCAGCACCTCACTATAAAATGGGGTGACAGGAGACATCCTTCATCCAAGGGACCAAGCAAAGTCAGCTCTGGTCCTTCCCAAGACTCAGTGAGATGAGAGCGCACACGGGACGCGCGGCCGCCCCGCAGCAAGCTAGAAGGTAGAAGCGCTCGAGATATCTGCCTTTTCGTGCGAGAGGGGCCGAGAGCGTGCGGTGGGTGCGCCAGAACACCCGCTCATTCGGTCGTGTAGACCCCCTTGCACCTCGCGCTGCCGGGCCGATGAGAGCTCGATTTCCCCCAAAACGGCAAGGCAACTGGCGGTGCCGGATCGGGAGCGGGTCAAGCTAGCACTCATAGATCTTCGTGTCGGACTTGCACCTAGGGCTCGAGCCGTCGACGAAGACGCATCTTGCAATCCACTCGCCAAATGGATTGTCGACTTCGTGATAGGGGCGGCGGACGTATTTCCTCTCGCACGTGGTTTTGTCGTCCTTGTAAGGCCAACACCACTATTCGCGGGGGGAGGGGGGGGGGGGGGGGGGCTCAACCAAGGGGGGGGAGGGGTTAGGTAGGCTGGGGGAGCGAACCTCGTTTTGAGAACCGTCTAGCTCCTCCAATTCTTCTGGCCAATCCAAGTCTTCTGGATTGAGCCCACAGCCCACACCTGGAGGCGCGCTTGGAGGTGGCGGCGTAGATGGCGGGTTGTGCGGCGCAGGCGGTGATGCAGGCAGTGCAGTGATGCAGCTTGTCTGGCTGTCGCAGAACCGCCTGAAGATCATTTCTGCGGTAAAGCTCCTCCCTGACGAGCATGCCAGCGCTTGACAATTGAAGCCACCGCTGGAACGGGAAGAACGGGTGCCGCACGTGCAGGGGCAGTAGGAAGAGAGCACGTCGCACCCGGAGTAAACTGAGTCAAAGATGGCCGTGCCCACCTGGTTGCAACTTAATAGGTCCGGGCGGAGGAATTCGGCGAGGATCGGCCCGATGGTCTCTGCTGGCGCGTCAGGTTCCGCGCACATCGTTTGGTCAAGCGCGTCGTCGGGCTCACGAATGATCGCTGCTGGACCAAATCCGGCAGCGATGGTTGCGAGCGCCAACACGGCGACGTTGCGCAACATGGGGGGTCTCGGTCTCCGGCCACCAAGCTGATCGCAGAAACGAAAAGTCCGAAACCGCCCGCCGTCGTCGGTCCGTGGTAGCTTACTAGAAGACATAAGGGAGATATTGTTCTCGAGGCCCCTAAGGGCCGCGGCGTGAGAGCTCGGAAGCAGCTTTGCACGGCAGAGAGAGGAAAGTCGAATCGATGCTACGTATCTCGAGGCCTCGATAGAGAGGAGAGGCCGCGGTTTAGAGAGACCTAAGCGCCTAACGCCCGCAAATAATTCTTAAAAATCAAAAAAGAAAAAAACTCGCCTCCAAGTGCCTCAGCACCCTGCTGGGCGACGGCGCATCGCCATCGGCCAGCGCGGCCAGGTCGGCCGCGAAGCGCGATGCTCTCTCGCGCGCGTCTCTCGCGTCGGCGTTGCGCCGCGGCGCACACCAATCGAAAGGGGCTCGCGAGAATAAATACTCCACCGTCTGCCGCTGATGAGCGAGGCGGCGATGAAGGCTGAGCGCCATCCTGGGTCCTGGTTCCTGCATCCGCAAAACGAGCTCCTCGTTTTTTTTCGGGCATCATCTGATCGAGCGGCCCGAGAGCCGCAACGGCCGCACCGAGCGCCTCTGCGTGCGGCGGAGGCTGGCGCGGGTCGCTGGACATCGATGTGGAGCGGTTTCGGGACCTCGGATGTTTTGCGATAGGCCAATGACCGAGCCGCGGACGAAGAAGAAGAACGAATGCAACAAAAAAGAGGATCCTCGAGGTTAAAAATCAATAAGGATATGTATGTAGAAAGATGAACAACAGTCAGGCTCGGACTGGACACCAACGCGGTATGGGTGGACGCGGGACATAAGGAGGTAGGGTAGGTAGAATAAGTAAGAAAAAAGAAATTCGTCTCGTCCGAGGTTAGGTGAGGTCTCGACCCGCAGCCACTAGGGCGAGGTTAGCTGAGATGCTGCTCGCAGTGTTGCTCGCCTCAGCGGGGCTCCTCCTCTCGCCGAGGCCACTGGAGATGCACGCGGTGGCGGCCGCGCCGCGCGCGCTCGCCCCTGCGATGGCGCACCACGTCAACGACAAGGGCGCCAAGAAGCACAACTCGTGCCGGCCGCGCAAGTCGCGCCCCTCCGACCGCAACCGCACGCCGCCCAGCTACCCGCCGCTGCCCGAGCCAACCGGCCCTGTGCTGATCGGCTCGTCCGAGGGCCGCATCGAGACGGTGACCATCTCGGTGTCCCCGGGCGATGATGCGGCTGCGCTCAAGGCGCCCGCCGCCCCGCCCCTCCTCCCCCTGCGGCTCGTGCTGCGCTCACGCCAGCCCGACCGACCCCTGCGAGGCGGTTCGCCCTCCACCAGACACTTACCCCTCGCCGCGCGCGCATGCAGGCCAAGCTGACAGCGGCGGGCGCGGCGGCGCCGGAGAAGATTGTGTTTCGGGGGGCGGAGGTGACGGCGACGTTGGCCGCCTGTGGCCTGGAGGAGGACGCCTCCATCGAGGCCACCGTCTGCAAGGCCGCGTGAGCGGAGGAGCGTGCCGCGTCTTGCCTGTCGTCCTCCCGCTGGCCACCTCTTCCGGCCACCTCCCCGCCACCTCTGCTGGCGCTGTGCCCAGTGCCTTCGGCGCTGGCGCGCGCGATGATCACCCTGTCGTCTATTTCGTGTACACAACTCTAACCCTGTCACCGCCCTTCGACCCTGCTCTACCGGCCGTCGGACGAGATGCGCGTACCGCACTCTTTTGACGGCTTATACGACGCGTCCCGCGCCGCAAGCCGTTCCAAGCGCCCCTCTCTTCACTCGCTTGCGAGACGCTTAACCTTAATCTATCCCCACACAACCCGAGAGTCTATCCCTAAAAACGCTGAAAAACGCTCTCTCCGTCTCTCTCCTCCGCTCTCACGCGTGTCCAGCTCCAGGAGGTCTATACGGAGTACGTTTAATCCTCTCGGCTCTCGCTCGAGCGCGGGCGCGGGACCACTGCACACGCTTGTGTTGGTCTCTCGTCTACGGGGTGTGGAGGGTGAGTTGAACAGGGGTTGTGCGCCAAGCCCTCCTGCTCGGCTCCAGCCGGTAGACAAGTCTTGTCATCAACAGAGTAGATGGATCTGACCTCGGGGCCGATGTGACCAAGCTCTGGTAGCGTGGTTTAACCTCACACCCATGGTCTCACAGTGTGCCGGCAGTCGCCGAGCAGTGTCGCTCACACAAAAGCCGCAGCACAAGTGACTGAGGGCCAGTGAGGGCGAGCCCATCGCTGTCACAGCTGTGGCAGCCGCACAGACCACAGTAGGCATGTAGGCTGTGTCAGCCGCTGTGCAGAGTGTGTGAGCAGCAGAGGAGCTGCTCTCCAGGCTTCTGTCGCAAAGAGCTGCATGCCACCGAAGGCGCTGTCGAGGTTCGCCGAGCGCGGCGCAGGTTGGAGGAAGCCGTCACCGACGAGCGCGTTGGACTTTTCACTCCGGACAAAAAAAGCGGACAGCGGACGGTGCGGCTGCGGGGCGTGCCGCAAACTTTTAGCGGCGAGGAGCGGGACCGCCTGTGGCGAAGCGGGTCGCGTCCTCCGATTTTGTTCAAGGACAACCCCCAGCATCCACACCCTTTATTGTCGCGCTTCCCTGTCTCCACGATTTTTCACCAGCTCTCAATACACTACAGTCAATACACACCGCCGGACCCTCACTACACGAGGCGTCCGACGGCGACGCGACTGAGACGGTGTCGGCTGTCGCGCGGAGAGCCGCCGATCCCACTCGGTCCCGGCTCGCTCGCTCCATGTCTCGCTCTGGTCGCTCTCGCGTCGCGCGGGTCTCCCGCTCGTCTCCTCTCGAGATCCCTCGACCCTACTCCTCGTCGTCATCTTCCATACCCTCCTCCTCACCGCTATCCTCCTCCTCCTCCTCGCTCTCCTCCTCCTCGCCCTCCTCGCCGCTCTCCTCGCCCGCCTCGCCAATGTCCCCCGCGCCCCACTCCTCCTCCTCCACGGACAAGTCGATCTCCTCCGGCTCGCCCGCCGTCAGCACGACGAAGCCCTCCGCCGCCGCGCACACGCCGCCCAGCTCCGCCTCCGCCGCCCCGTCGCA